ATGCAGTGGTGATAAATGATAATAGCCTTAGCTACTCTCTTTAGTCATACAGTAGCTGAGGGTCCAAATAATGTTTGTTTCTTCTAATTTTAATAACAAAATAATTTTACTGCCCTTTTGGCATTTATGTAAACATCATGACATAACAGCGTCATTACCAAGTGCAGTGGGCATTGCTATTGAAAACAATCTTACCAACAATTTGCTTTATTGATCAGGGAAAGTAAATCGCTATAAATTGCTACATGAACGGCCTATACATGCACCTTTTTTGAAAGAATGTACAGTAGAAATTTGAAATGTTCCTCTTTTAGCACATCTTAATCCTTTGACACTTTACTGCACTTGGTGTTTGCCTTCAGCTCCACAGAGAGCAGAATGTCATTTTAACCAATATTGATACAATCATTTGTTAATGTAATTTCAGTTAAACTTTTCTCTTGCTCGCTCAGTTTAAAACTACAACCAACTGGGTAAAGCTAGCCGCAATTTGTGCACCTCATGTATTATTACATCAATACACAAATTATCCAAATATAACATATTTCCTTCAGGGTTTGTACAGTTTTTTTAAGAGTAAAATTCAAGCACTGGTCAAGCACTTTAAAAAGCAAGCTACCTTTTGTGAACAAATAATAACAAAATAATATAAAACATTTATAACGTATTTTTTGAACTTTTAAAATGTGTCATACCAATCAAGCAAGATGATATGTTCCTTCTCCTCTTGTCTTTATTGTGTGACAAATACATGTAGAGTTGTAATTTATGAAACCGGGGTATTGAATTAATCTTTCTTTTCAGTTCCTTTGTTATAACACCCAAAGGTGTTACATCCATTTCCTGTAATGTGAAATTCTGGCTGACACGTCATCACGCACCTTCTTGGCTGTACTTTCCTTTCTTTCATACTACCTCATAAATGCTTGGCAGGTTAGGGTTGGGTTACAGCAGAAACAAGTTCATAATTGTGAAATACTGTTGAAAGTTCTATGCTAATGCTGAGCCATCGTTTCTGAGAAGACCTGTCATATTGCCAAATGTTTCCGCTTACAATTCCTTTTACCTGCATTTTAAATGACGATTTGAGTCACCTTAAATCTTTAAGCACTTTTGTACAAACATAGTCCGTGTTTGATAGTAGATATGTTTAGAGGGTCTGTTCACCAACGTTACACACATCTTTAACATGTTACGGGATTAAGGTTTAGTGTAGATACATAAATAAATATCAAAAACCGTTAATGACCCGTTTGAAAGTTATACACAAATGGAAATGCATTGCCCCTTACTTAAAACAGCAATATAATGACAAAACCAGTGTTGAAATTTAAAATTGTACTTTTTAAAATCAATTAATTTATCCTGTTTCTTTAGGTCAGTTCAGCCAAATTACACCCCAAAACAAAAACAAACAAACCAGCAGCTCTGGTTTTATTGGATTTATCTCCAGATGTGTCCTGGTCGCAGACACTGTCTTTATTTAACTGATGAATGTAATATAAACTGTGCCTGTTACTGTTACTAGAGTTTATTTTCTATCTGTATGTGCATAGTTCCTTTTTCAAATAAATGCTAATCTGTTCTCATCCGGCAGTTTCCTGTTGTATTGTTTCAGTCTACCAGTGTAGTTCTTGAAAGTGCTGTTGATTGAAAGCAACAGGCTACATGGACTTGGCTACACTTGGGCTTCCTGACACAATCACTGCAAAGGCACTTTTGTTATTAATATTTGAATTAACTTTCAAAAATAAACTAGTGGCTCCAGTCTGGTCTTTGCTCTGAGTGGTCCAAATCTAACTGATGGAAAAATGCAGATAACTAAAGACAACTTTTCACAACTTGCATTGTGACATTTTCTGAACATGGTGTACTAGAACAAAATTGGTTTGCAGCGTGGTTTATGTTATTGACCAAATTGAAATATGTCTCTTACAAAAGCTAAAGCTAAGGTTGACATGCTTCAACTTGTGGAATAATGAAACTGACACATTTCAATAACCGAGGTAACTTGCAGAAGCTGTGATGCTGCAAGTTCCCTAAAAGATGTGAAATGCTACTGAATGTTTCACAAACTTCTTATCTTCAGAGTGCAGCAAGCAGAAACAAACGGGTGTGAATGAAACATTTGCACGTCATATTTGGTTGTCAGAGGCCCCATGACACTTGAAGAAATGAAACACACATGGAAATAAGATATAAAGTAAAACTTTATCATGACATACAAGTTTAAAGCCCTGAGAACCATATCTTTATATTACTAATATGAACAAAACTGAATGTGTGAAAACCACTATGGAAAAGTGCTCCTCTTAAATACAATCAGCACAAACCAGTTTTTACAAGCATTCATGTGTTTTGTCCTATTTTTTGTTTGCTTAATCAAAGAGAAAACTATAATATCAGTAATATCATTATTATCATGTCCATAATAATAACAACAGTACAAAAATATGCACAACCCCACAGTTGAATTAATATACGGAGCATTGTACAAGCCAAAAACAACATAAAATTGATAAATGAGGTATTCGATAACCACTTGCATATGCGCCTGTTTTTACACAGATCAGGTTAATTTTTAAACAATTTAAAACTGAATTAACTCCAAAATCATCTGAGAGACAAAAGGTTCTGCAGACTTCCAACTTCACAGCTTCCTGAGTGACGAGACCTTGCCTGCAGTTACTGACGACAAAAATGCAACACCTAAACCAAAGTAGCATTCAGCGAAGTGACCACGGCTTCCATCAGCACTCGTCTCTCAATGCAGCTTCAATATCAAATACAACAGTGACTGCAGCCCACTGCCCTGAGGTATTGTGGTATGACGAGGTAGGGGCGTCTCTAATAGACATACACACACACACACACACACACACACACACACATCATATATACTCATCCACACAGCAAGTCAGGTGGCAGGAGCCTGGAGGTCAGAGAGAAGTGAATGACCAACCCTCAACACTTTCCCCTCCCTAAACAACGAACAACACAGTGGCCTTCAACAGCAGGAGACGGCTGTGGGTGTAATGGGCAGCTCCCACTGAACAATATGGGAGACATTTCTCCATTTAAGTTAAGATTTTACAAACATGTAATCAAAACTCACATTTGAGAGCAAACACCTTCTCCTGTGATATAATATAATATAATATATATATATATATAATCTATAATCTATATAATATATATATATATATGTGGCAGTGGTGCCACCTGCAGTATACTTAATGGTATTACAAGTGTATGTAGGTGGTGTACTCCACATGGTAGAATGGCAAGACCTTATACACTGAACTTGCTCACACATACGCATGCACACACACACACACACATACACACATACGCATGCACACACACACACACACACACGCACGCACGCACGCACGCACGCACGCACACAAAGGCAGTGAAGCTACACTATCAAACAATCATTGCTTAGACTAAGCAGATGAAACAGAAAGCTTGGACTTAGAAACAAGAAAATGTTTTAGTAACACGGCCTAAATGATTAAGCTTAACAGTTACTAAAAACAAGGTCCACCAGGAAAAGAAAAACAAATAAATAGCAAAGCTCAGTTGTTAATGCAAAAGCATGAATGACAACTGGTGTCTAACGTCTGATTGAATTGCTTACCAAAATAAAAGTGATTACTCTCCAAAGGATTAAGCTTGAAGAGAAAGACATTTTCCCAGCCAGTTGAGTAGTGAAAGCTACACTGGCTGGATCTCACCAGCAACTACTTTAAGGCAGCATCTACAGTTCTCACCTTTATAAAATACAGTTATGTGTCATACAGGGTTCTGAAGGGTACGCCTGAAGGACTTACGGCACCGTCCCTTAAAGTCCTCAAACCCTCAACTGTGATCTACACTGCAAATTGTCTGGAAATCCTGACACGTAATGGCTAAAATACGGTCTAATAAAAGCAACAAGGCTGCCCACCTCAGATCACACTGGGCTTAAAGAGGTTTCTAAACAGTTAAAATGCCTCACATTCAACACAGATAAAGCTAGAAAATTCATTTTCATCCTTTGCGGTTTTTCAAAATGCTAAAAATGTACTTTAAAAAGGGAGAAAAATACCTTACAACTTGAGACATAATCCAACTGTTCCTGGATTATCAGGAAGTGGGTGTTTTAATAAAGGGGGCAAGACTAAGGGGCCCTGCGTCCCCATTGGGTGTCGTGTCAACAACCAGCCCCAAGAGCCCATAAATGTACAAGATTAAAATAGGGAGACAGCTCGCGAAAGCCACAGCATCTCGGCTACTGTTCTGGATCGAAAGACCTAAATCTGTCTTCTGACAATTTACCATCTGTCATGTAATCAGATTTTAGATTCTAGTTTTTAAATTTGACTTATTTCCATTGTAACTTTCCAATAATCAAGTCATGCTGTAAAATGTGAAGAAAGGGAATTTACCTCACCTCACCTTAGGATACTTTCACTTGCTTTAGGGAAAAAATAACTCAAAATCAGATTAAATGCGATTAGATGAAACATTTTCTGCAGTCCAAAACAGACCTTGAACTGCCTCGCTGTGCACCACAGCAGGTGTGGGAAGGATTGTACGAGGGATCAATCAAGAAAAGCGACCTGGCTAGTCTTTGGTATCTAGCTGTGCAATAACCAGAGGCTAACGTGAACCAGAACATTAGGGTGTTAAAACACTGGTCACATGATTGTACACATGCATATCATTTTGCCGCTGTCGTGAAAGAAGACGTGCCCACTGCGATTTAGGTGTTCGCAGTTCATTTTAAGGTTAAGATGGTCGATTGTTTGGAATTTGTTTGACCCCTGCGACCTTGAAACCTGTTAACAATCCTACAAATGTACATGTGTCAGTGAGGAACTAACTATTCGTTTCCTCTTCCCTGAAAAAAAAAGCAGATATATCACTCTTATCAGACAACAATTTGAGGACCCCCCCCCCAAAAAAAAAACAACAAAAAAACCAGAAGCAAGCATAAAACAAGTTCTACAAGTAAATACAGGAGGAGAGCAATAGCAGGCCCATCCCAGTTCTGTTTGTCCCCAAAACCACCAGCAGTGTGTCAGTTCGTTCATGTCAGTTTCAGTTCAGGTAGGAGGTCCATCTCAGGTTGGGTGTCAAGTCTCGATGGCTTTGCAGCCGTATGAGGTATGTAGTGTAGCTCTCCTTTTGAAAGAGTCTGTTGAGGTATTCTTGTACAGTCACGTAGACTTGTGCAGTCTTCGGTTATGAATCCTTATTATTCCTTCTTTAAATTAACAGTGATTCCTTGCAGTTGTCACATTGTTTCCTGAGAGAGATGCCCTCCAGAGCAGAGAGGCCAGTATGAGGTCTGAGAACTACGCATTGACCATGACGCCGTCAGATTGACACTCTGGAGGAAGGATGCACAAACAAAATGGGGGACAACAAACTCTGAACTGATTCTGTACTACCTCTCTGTAACACAGACAGGAGCCGAGTGGGAAAATGAGCTCAGGGCCTGCTGTGGGTGGATTAGAGTTGCTGTTGCCCCAACTTTGTGCGCTACGTGTTTCAAGACAGCTTGTGTGGACCTGCGATGAGTTGTATTTTAGGTGGACATAAAAATCCTGTGCATTGCTAGTGAGAGTTAACGGTTTGGTGAGGTTTGTGTACGCCATTAACCTTCCAACCACCATAAAGGACTTGACATGATCTGAACTGAGGGCGGACTTGTGTAATTAGGTATTTAATGTGCTGATCTACAGCATCTGATCATTCACTAGTTTGAGTTCAGCAAGAGTCTACAGCGTGTTGTTGAAACCTGAGCAGCCCGGGTTGGAGGCCTGTCGCTGAGGTGGGTGCTCTGTACATGAGGTGAGAGTTACCCAACTTCCCCTGATTGCAACTAGGTCAAAAAGAATACAAAAATAAAGTTGATTCAGGTTAAATATACTACAGCTCCTGAGGTAAAGACACCACTGCAGGTTACTTGATTTGAGGTATGTAAAAAGAGAAAAACTAAAAATAAAATCATTCTAAAACACAAAATCAAAAAGACAACAAAATGGCAACAAACAAATAAAATGTCCTAAGATAAAACTTTTCAAGTTCAGTTGTGACTACACCTGTCAGTGGGTTTTGGCTGAGCTGATTGTGTTTAGCATGTACATAAGGATTAACAAGTGTATGTATGTGTAGATTGTGTCTGTATATTTATAATTGTGTGTGTGTGTAGTGTAGCATGTGTTTATGTTTGTACGTTGAATAAAATGCATAGCTGTGCGTTTGGGCACATGTTGTCATATAATATTCTTAGGCTCTGTGTTCATGATTGGACAGCCAAGAGGTTGACAGGGTTGATGAGGTATTTGTTGTGCAACAGTTTGTTATTCTTATCGGTTTCTCATTGTACTGTATATTCTTGCTGGGCCTCCCGGTGGAAGAGAGGCCTGGGGAACAGGTACAAAGGGCATCCTGAGTTAGGGCGACCCGCCTGGGGTCGGCTCGGCAGAGCCAGGACCCTTGGAGGAGGAGGAGGATGCGGGGCTGAGGGTCTGAGACAAGGGTACAGAGAAGCCAAAGCTAGTGCTGGTTCCAGCAGTGGAGGCTGAAACAGCAGCAGCCGACACAGCAGGCCCTGGGACCCCTCCAGACTTCTGGGCAAACAGGGTTCCTGTAGGAAATTGGGAGACATATGCATCACTACATAGGTAAATGTTACACTTTTACGTAGTGAAAAATACCTAAATAAGCTGACAAATAAAAGTCGTAAATGGAGGATGCTGTAGGTCATAAATCAGAGTTACAATCTTCTGAGTTTAGAAATTAGAATAAAGTGGAACAGGAGAAAGCAAAGGATTTCCATTAAACATAATAACCCGTCCCCCATACAGACCTGAGTAGATTGTGCCATTGACCTCCACTGAGACAGTGATGCTGGCATTTCCGTTGGTTGAGATGCTAAGAGACATGTCCTGCTGCTTCTCATCTAAAGAAACAGAAATAACAGTGGACAAGGCTTTTAAATGAGACCTGCGTCTATTAGGGACCCTGCTTTTATTGGAAGTTTTACGGTATTCATGTGACACACATACATCCCTCAGAATCCAAACATGAATACATTTAGATGTGCGTACCCAGAAATGGTGCCGTTAGGAATACTACCAATAATACCAATTTGAAATCAATGAAATACTGGTTTCTAAGGGCTGAATACTTCTGCAATCAATTATTTTGTATTTCATATTAGTCAGGTTGTTTTGTTGGTTGATCTGAGTCACTTTCAGCAGCATTATTTTTTAGTATATTACTTCATTACTTCAACACTGGAGATTACTGTGACATCCATGTTTGTGTAAAAATGCTGATAAATAAATGATGAAACAAACAACAAGGGAAGTTGGATGTTGGCTCAACAGAACATTGTCAGCTGCGTGTTGAAATTAAATGTTGCAAACCTTGTAAAGTACAACTTTCCTAAAAATGTTCCTCTTTTACTGAATGGAAACACGCTAAATTTGCATCATTTTCAGGTTCTTCTAAAAGTATTTCGACAAACCTCTGGTGGTGATGGTGGGGGCTCCCAGACGCAGGTTCATGGGCATCTGTGAAGCCATGGCCAGCAGATTGTGTTGGAAAGCCTGCTGCATCAGACGCTGCTGCTCCTCCGCCAGGCGGGCCATCTTCCTCTCTGGTCCCTCCATTCCGCCACTTGTCTCCAACTTTTCTCTCAGCTGCTCCAGCGTAGCAGCTCTGGCCAAACCCGCAACCTGCTGCTGACCCAGGGCCAGTGCCATGGAGGGTCTCGCTGCCATGATGGAGGGGGTCAGGTCATCTGGAAAAGAGAGAAACGGAGGGTTAGTTTTAGGAGTATATCTACATGGACAGAAAGGCAAATTCAGAAATCTATCAATGTGAATCGTTGTCTATGTGTGCCCTATTGCTATTACTGCCTAGTCCACACTGAACTAACCCAAACCCATGTGAGCCGTGATACTCCAGAACATGCAATACTGAATAAGTGGGTGATTATCTATCATTTATTACTAAGAGAGAATACTATCAAGAATACTTGATCACATTAAAGCTGCAGTAGGAAGCTAAAAACAATAAAAAACTAAAATTCTTGTCGTATTTGCTAAAACTATTCTGACAGTAGTACAATCAGGTTCCTCTGGCTCCTCCTAGTGTTTCTAATGGCATTTGCAAAAATGCAGAACATCTGAACAAAAACAACCAACCAGAGCCAAGAAAGAGTGTTGAATGTTGACTCTCATTCCCAGGGACCCAAACTGTCGGTATTTGACGACCTGGGAATGACACTCAACAACAGTCCATGTACTACCAGTGTTGAATGCAGTAAAAAAGTTTTCCAGCAAATAATTACAACAGAGTTACTTTTATTGTACTGTTTTTAGTTACCTACTGCAGCTTTAAATGAAATACAATTTTCATGCAAGTCAGAATATAATATGGTGGATGGATTTTTAGTTAGTGTGAAGACTCCAAGGCAACGGTTAAGTGACCTCGGTTGATTTTAGTTGTAAAGAATACAGCCAAAGATCACAGAATTAACTTCTCAAATTATCCTTTAAACACACAAAATCAACCCACTCTTTATTAAGCTTATCCCACTAATTTGAATAAAAACATAACAGAGCTGGTTATGGGCATGCAAAGCAGTTACACAGGAATAGTGGCTGGGTCATTCAAAGCGTCCTACATGACCACATAAAGCGAGAGACAGGTAACATACAGTGCATTACACAAGTCTAACCATGGATACTGTTGGGGTCCACAGCAGAGTCACATTCCAGCCAAGTCAAAGTGACATCAGATAAGACAGGAAGGTAATGACAGTTATCAACAGGATCCTACTGATGTGGACTGCAGGCTTCAAAGTTCATAAAGTGTCCCCCAGCGTGGGAACCGTGTTATTAATCAGTAGTAAAGGTGAGGGCTCTCAACAGCCTAAGGCAAAATTGATTCACACATGACTCTTAAACACCTGGATGGACTACACACAAATGCAGGCGAACACACACTCACAAAGTAGTACAAAAACCCTAAAAACCTAGTGCGTGCACACACACACGCAGGCAGCACACAATATCGGCGTGAACGATGACGTTGGCGAGAATGAATTACACAAATGTAACATAGCATACTCTCAACACAAACATCCCTGCACACAGACGCAGCACCACCACACAACAGCACACCACACCCACACACCACACCAACACAGAAGCACACCTCCACACACACACACACACACACAGAAGCACACTCTCATACAAATACAAACAATTTTACACAAAAGGACCAGAGGCTCTGATTAAAGTGATTTTTGTTTACTGTCAGCTCTAATGTTGTTTCAGTGCTTTGTAATCCAACCCTTCTTTTTTACTAAAACAGCATTAAAACTAGAAGTGCTTATCCATTGATGTGACTAAATGTAGTTTTTCTAAATTGTGACAGAGGGCAGTATTTCCCTCTAAATACTTAAATTACATGTCTCAGCACATCAGTAACTGGAACACTCCAGTTCAATCCCACCGGTATAGAGGGGCCACATTCTCTGAAGTAAACATTTACCCAGTTTAATATAACCGCCATCAATCCAGAGAAGAGTTTCTGAGCATATGTGCTCATTTTTTCCAGCAACACCCTTCTTGACCTTTCATTAGTTACACACGTTTATCTGAGAGTTGCCTGTTTACTTGCAGGCACACTTGTTTTAGAAGGTAACCGCCATCTTCCCACATTTTTATTTTTGGAATAAAGATAGGCCTTCTCTTTATGCTGCTATGATTATTTTAATGAAATACGGTATAGTAAGTGGCGTAATGACATAAAAGTGAGTTTTGTACATAAAAGGTCGATATTTGTCCGAGGTTGTCAGCTGTATGGTCCCTACCTTTTTTCATAGAGGGTCCTGGTGAGGCATGCAGACCATTGAGGGCCCCTGAGGTCCCTGCCCCCAGAGCGGAAAGGTGCATCTTGGGAGGTGAGAGGATGTGGGGAGCTGTGCTTGGAGAAGGAGAGAAGCGGAAGAGGCTGCTGCTGTAGCTTGGACGACGACCCTCGCGCCGGTTACTGTCGATAGCTGCCTGAAGCTCCCCCGGGGAGCTGAGGCCTTTCCTCTCGCACTCATATGGGTACAGGTATTTCATGTACCTTAAGAGGAACACACACACACACACACACACACACACACACAAAACAATACATCAGATCACCACAGAAACATTTGCATAGCAAGTATTAGCAAGACCCATTATCTTAGTTTTAATCCAAGAAACTTTCTCTGCCTTCAAAATGTTTTTTCTGTTTAACAGTCACGAAAAACACCTGAATATCTGAAACTAATGTTTTATTATTTTAAGTGAATCTTTGATATAAGATGCTGTTTCCTGATCATTTATTTTATTTATTTGCATTTTGACTGAAGGTGTAGTGAGAGGACAGGGTTCGTGGCGAGGCACAGTTTAGTCTTTTGGTCTCAGAAATTGATTTGATTTTGTAAAAATCAAACAGCATTTTATTTTACTGACAGTTTTAGTATTAGTCAGTGTTTGGATTTAATTTTAGATAAAAGAATACATACCTATGTAGAAAGCTGTCAGTTAACATTCTTACTTAGGTGCATGTGATTGGACAGAAGTTAATGAGAAACTTGGTATGAAAATTGTACATACTTGGAAGACATCAAAGGGGCTCTACATGTAAGCACAGCCACAGTTCTGGTATTTTTCCATCCCATAAGAACATACAGTATTGTGCATGTTGACTGCATAATGGTGAAATAGAAGCACAGAGGATCAATAAGAAGCTAAGAGTAGCTTCCATTAACTAGAGCTAGCGGAGCAATGCTACACAGCCCACCGACATTAAAAATACATAAAGGTTCATTAGGGCACCCTGCTAGTGGACAGGATAGAGAGGTGTTACATCTACTGAAGGATTTCCATCAACAGAGTGAGAGAGTTTTAGTCAAGGCTTGGCGTGCAAGCTGTCAGTCAAACCCCACCTTAGTCATTGTGAACTCAGAGCCCATTGATTCCCATAGATTTATTGATGTGATTTGGGTCAATGTGTGATGTAATGGACAAAGGGATTAAATGTGAAGAGGGAAGGTGGCCTTGTGGAGGAAACAAACTTGCATGTGTATAAACACACAGGCACGAGTTAATATTGACATCCGTACTCACAACTTCACATCCTCCAATACTACCTACACACATGCATATTCACAGTATAAGGAAGGTGCTTGTTTCAAGCTGAGAAGTTGCACACTTGAGAGTCTTAATTTAGTTCCAGTAAATTAAATCAGAGTTTACATAAGATTACCATTAGACAGACTGTTGTAAACAGTGACTTTATAGCTAGTACAGCCAATAACATGAATTTTGCTGGGTGTTTTGTGACACCGATAGAAAGACTCACTGTGTGCGCAGGGTGAAAGCTGCACTGGTGATGGAGGTAGGCAGGTTGAGTCCCTTTGTGATTTCTCTCCAGATCTTCTTGTTGATAACCTCTACCAGGCCTCCCTTTTCTGTCACCAGCTTGTACAGCATGTACAGATCCAGGACTTGCTTAGCCATAATGGGGATACGATTGACTGGGGTTCCTATGGAGGAAAGGAAAACCATAAAATAAATCAATACAGTACAAATCATTCATCTGAGTTGGATTATCTTAGTGACGCACAATGAATGCTTCAAGGTGGACACATTTATTTTTAAGTGCACTTGTGTATCATATGTGCATGCATTATTAACATGAACCATCACAATGGAAAAGGAAGCAATAATGCTGACAATTTCTTTTGTGTGCATCCCTGCTGATACACACTGGCACACAGAAAATACATTTACAACTACTACATTGAAAATGACAAAGCAGGATGAATTCTACAATATACATCAATTCATCTACTAATCAATGCTGAAACTCCCTGGATCACTTTGTGACCTCCAGGTAGTGATCTAAGCCCTGTTAGGATGCTGGTAAGACAAGAGTGGCAGGCCTGTTGCCTGCACGCCTGTTAAATTTGGCTTGAAAACATATTAGCCCAGTTAAGGCAATCTGGCTTGACCTGGAAAAGGGGATTCGCAAACACAAAGCAAAGCGGCTCTAGACTTTTGATACAGATGCATTAATCTTGTCAACAGCTTATCTGCAGTGAAGCTTGCAG